GACCAGCTGAGCTTCACTGCCAAAGAACTTCTTGACTTTTCTAATTCTCACAAGCCAAGCTCTGAGGAACAAGTATGGGAATGAATTTTAAAGGTATGAGATAGTAGTGGAAGACATGTAAACCTGAATCAGGCTGATTTCTTGATATGAGGCCATTAAGCAGAATTTCTAAATATAATGCCATGGTGTGTGGAGTTTTAAAAAGGTGTTAACAGTTTATTTGGTTTGTTGGCTGAAATATGGATCAAAAGATAGCACACTGTGAATGAGTTGGAGATGCCTTATATTTGTTGGTTTACTGCTGATGAGGGTATTCAAAGGCTCAGTAAAATGGGAATGGTGGAATGGATTTTCCAGGTAAAACCTAATCCTCCACACTGGGAAGGTCCAGAAAATGCACCCTGCACTTCAAGAAATAGATTAGTGAGCAGAGCACCAGCACCCTTAAAGAGCTCTGTCATTTCTCTTTTCTGTATGCCAGACCTTATGATGAGGACCACAGTCACTCATTTGGGAAATAAGCTGATAAGTTTAATTGGATTCTAAAGTAGTAGGGGCCAAGTGGCAGCACTCAACCTCCAAAGGCAAAGTGGGCATACTAATATGGACAGCAGAAGCAGAGTAATGACTGGAATGGTTTGACATGTAAACCTATTACATTGGCTGATTAGTTATGGTGTTCCCAAAAGTGGAATACATAGGAAGCCTACTAAATTTTTAGTGGATTTTTAGGAGTAAAAAAAAAAAAATAGGGAAAATGAACAAAAATCTCCCTCAAACTGTAATAACAGAGAATCACGGCTCCTTTACCAATTACTTGACTTGAACCAGTTTATAGACCCAGAACACCTGGAATGAAGGGGAGGCTGGCCCTCCATGAGGAAGGACCCTTGTACACTACCAAGAAGTCACACTGTAAACCTTTCTCCTATCCTTCCCCAAAGGGATCTAAGGCCTTTTACCAGGGTAACTGTACATTAGGAGAAAGGAAATGATCAGAAATTTCAGGAACTACTGGACACTGGTTCTGAATGCTGATTTCAGGAGATACAAAGCATCACTGTGGCCCTCCAATAAGAGTAGGAGCCTATGGAGGTCAGGTGATCGGTGAAGTTTTAGCCAAGGTCTGACTCACAGTGGATTCAGTAGGTCCTGGAATCCATTCTGTGGTTATTTCCCCAGTTTCAGAATAAATAATTCGGTAGTGCCACATGCCTGCAATCCCAGCACTCAAGAGGGTGAGGCAGGAAGATCGCCATGAGTTCAAGGCCAGCTGGACCACATAATAAGTTCAAGGCCAGCCTGAGCTACATAGTGAGACTCTGTCTCAAAACAAAAACAAAAACAAAGCAGAATACATAATTAGGATAGATATACCTAGTAATTTGCAGGATCCAGAACCCATATATTAGTTCCCTAAGTAGGGTATGAGGGCTATATTATGGTGGGAAAGACCATATGGAAGCCATTAGAGTTGCCTTTACCTGAGAGAAGAGTAAATCAAAAACAAGGTGCCAGGCCTGGTGGTGCACGCCTGTAATCCCAGCATCAGGAGGCTGAGGCAGGAAGATCACTGTGAGTTCAAGGCCAGCCTGACCTACATAGCAAGACCCTGTCTCAAAAAACAAAACAACACAAAGCAAAAAGAACAATAAGAAGAAGCCTTCTGTGGAAGGATTGGAGAGATTATGCCACCATCGAGGACTTGAAAGCTGCAGGGGTCGTGGTTCCCATTACATCCTCTTTTAACTCTCCTATTTGGCCTGTGTAGAAGGTGGATTGACCTTGGAGAATGATACTTGATTACCATAAGCTTAATCAGGTGGTGACTCCTATTGCAGCTGCTGTACCAGAGGTGGTTTCCTTGCTTGAGCAGATCACATCTTCTGGTATTTGGAATGTAGGTATTGACTTGGCAAATGGTTTTTTCTCCTTACCTACCCATAAGAGCCACCAGAAGCAATTCGCTTTCAGTTGGCAAGGCCAATGATATACCTTTACTGTGCTACTGCAGGAATATATTAATCCTCCAGCCCCGTGTCACAACATAGATCATTTTTCTCTTCCACAAGGCATCACACTGGTCTATTACATTGATGACATTATGCTGATTGGACCAAGTGAGCAAAAGGTAGTAACCACTCTGGACTTGTTGGTAAAGCACTTGGTGCCTTTACCTCAGTGAAATTTCTAGGAGTCCAGTGGTGTGGGGCATGCAGGGATATCCCTTGTAAGGTGAAGGATAAGTTATTGCATCTGGCACCTCAACCAAGAAAGAGGCACAATTCCTTGTGAGCGTATTTGGATCTTGGAGGTAACACATTCCTCACTTGGGTGTGTTGCTCTGGCCCACTTACTGAGTCGCTTATAAGGCTGCTAGTTTTGAGTAGGGCCCAGAACAAGAGAAGGCTCTGCAACAGGTATAAGCTACTGTGCAGGCTGCTTTTCCTCTTGGTCCATATGATCCAGTAGATCTAATGGTACTTGAGGTATTAGGGGCAGATAGGAGCGCTATTTGGAGCCATTGCCAGGCCCCCATAGATGAATCACAGTAGAGGCCCATAGGATTTTGGAGCAAGGCTGTACCATCATCTGCAGATAACTACTCTCCCTTTAAGATAAGAAACAGTTCCTGGGGCCAGGGATTTAGCTCAGTGGTGCATCACCTGCCTTGCAAGCCAAGGTCCTGAGTTTGATCCTGGGCACCAGAAAAAAACAAAACAAACAAACAAACAAAAAAAACAATGAAAGAAACAGTTCCTGAACTGGGTGTGGTGGCGCATGCCTATAATCCCAGCACTAGGGAAGCTGAGGCAGGAGGATTGCTGTGAGTTCGAGGCCAGCCTGGGCTATATTGTGAGTTCAGAGCCAGCCTGAACTACAAAGGGAGACCCTGCCTCAAAAGACAAAAATAACAACAACCCTCCCCCCAAAGAAAAAAAGAAACAGATCCCGGACTACTACTAAGCCATAGTGGAAACTGAATGCTTAACCATGAGACACCAGGTTACCATGTGATCTAAGCTGCCTATCACAAACTAGGTGCTGTGTTACCCACCAAGTCATAAAGTTGGATGTGCACAGCTACAGTCCATCATTAAATGGAAGAAGTGATATGTACATGACTGAGTCTCAGCAGGTTCAGAAGGTATGAGTAAGTTACATGAAGAAGTGGCCCAAATGCCCATGGTTCTTACTTCTGCTATACTGCCGTGTACTCCAGCATGCATCTGTGGCCTCACAGGATTTGCCCTATGATATGTTGACAGAGGAACAGAAGACTAGGTCCTGGTTTACAAATGGTTCTGCACATTATGCAGGCACCACCCAAAGGTGGACAGTTGTAGCACTATAGCACCTTTCTGGGACATCTCTGGAGGACAGTGAAGGGAAACATTCACAGAGGGCAGAACTTCAGGCAGTGCACCTGATCATACCTTTTGCTTGGAAGAAAAAAATACCCAGATGTGAGATTATACAATGAATCATGGGCAGTAGCAAGTATCTTGGGTGAATGGTTGGAGACTTGAAGAGAACATGACTGGAAAATTGCTGACAAAGACATTTGGGGAGGAGGTATGTGGCTAGACCTAACTATATAGGTGAAGGATGTGAAGATACTTGTGTCCCATGTAAATGTTCACCAAAAGGAGACCTTAGCAGAAGAGACTTTAAAAATCAAGTGACTCAAATAAATCTTTTTCCTCAGCCACCGCTGTAATTGCCCAATGAGCTCATGAATAAAGTGGCCATCATTCCAGGGATGGAGGTTATGCATGGGCTCAGCATATGGACTTTCACTCACCAAGGCTGACCTAACTTCGGCCACTGCTGAATGGCAAATCTGCCAGCAGCAGAGACCAACTCTGAGTCCTCAGTATGGCACTATTGCCCGAGATGATCAGGCTGTGATCTGGTGGCAGATTGATTATATTGGCCTGCGTACGTGATGGAAAGGGCAGCTCTTTGTCCTAATTGACATAGACACTTATTCTGGGTATATATTTCCCTTCTCTGCATATAATGTTTCTGCCAAAACTACCATCTGTGGATTTACAGAGTGCCTTATCTGCCATCATGGTCTTTCACATAGCATTGCTTCTGAGCAAGGAACACACTTTACAGCCAAAGAAGTGAGGCAATGGGCTCATTCTCATAGAATTCTCTGGTCTTACCGTGTTCCTCACCATCCAGAAACAGCTGGATTTAACAGAACTGTGGAAAGGCCTTTTGAAGATGCAGTTACAGTACCAACTGGGTGGCAATACCTTGTAGGGCTGGGGCAAGGTTCTTCAGAAGACTGTATATGCTTTGAGTCAGCATCAAATATTAGGTACTATTTCTCGAATAGCCAGAATTCATGAGCCCAGGAATCAAGGGGTGGAAGTGGGAATGGTACTACTTACCATTATTCCTAGCAATTAACTAGCAATATTTTTGCTTCCTGTTCCTGTGACCTTATGTTCTGCTGGCCTAGAAGTCTTAGTTCCAGATGGGGAAAGGCTTATTCCAGGAAGCACAACAATGATTCCATTGAACTGGAAGCTAATACTTCCCCTGCTCATTATGGGCTCCTCATGCCTCTGAGCAAACAAGCTAAAAAGGGAATCACAGTGTTGGCAGGGGTGTTTGAGCCAGACTACCAAGGATAAATTGGAATATTACTCCCCAGTGAGGGTAAGGAAAAATATATTTGGAGTGAAGGAGATCCCTTAGGGTATTTCCTAGTATTGACATGCCTTGTTATTAAGGTTAATGGGAAACCGAACAGGATGATAAATGGCCAATCCGAGCAGGATGATAAATGGCCCAGAACCATTGGGAATGAAAGTATGGGTCAGTCTACCTGGTAAAGAACCAATATCAAGAGATTACAAGAAAAGTAATAGTTGCAAAAATCCTCAACAAAATATTAACAAATTGAACTCAGTTATGTACAAAAAGAGTGATATACCATAAACAAGTGAGATTTATCCCAGGTATGTGAGGCTAGTTCAACATTTATTTTTAAAATTTTTTATTAGTACATGTTTGCAGTACAAAATGATTACATTTATCATGGAAAGTTGGTACATGTACATAATACATTCTTTTTTCATCCCCTTCTCCTCTCCTCCCTACCCCTAGTTCAACATTTAGAAATCAATTAATTCAATCAATCATATTATCAGGCTAAAGAAGAGTAATCATACCACCATATCAATGGGTTCAGAAAAAGTATTTCACAAAATCGCAACATCCATACATGACAAAAATTCTTAGTAAACTAAGAATAGAAATTTCTTCAACTTCATAAAGAATGTATATGAAAACCTTACAGTTAATATACTTAATGGTGAGAAGTTTGAAGCTTTATTGCTAAAATCAGGAACAAGGCCATATTGTCCCCTCTCACAGCTCCTTTTCAACACTGTACTAAATGTGCTAGCTTATGCAATAAGAAAAGGAGGTAAATATATATAGTTTTAGAAGAAAGAAATAAAAACATCTTTGCTTGTAGATGATATTTGGCTCTGTAGAAAATCCCCCAAAATCAATACCACCACCACCAAAAACTTCTGAAACTAATAAATGAGTAAGGCTAGAGGTATAAGATTAACATAAAAAGGCAAGCACTTTCATATATACCAGCTCTGTTAGTGAGCTTTCCATTACCATGATGAAATATTTGAGATAATTAACTTAGAAAAGGTTTATTTTGGCTCACAGTTTTAGAGGTTCCAGTCCAAGATCAGGTGGGCCCATTGCTTTTGGCTTCTGATGGGGTGCTGCCAGATTGCAAGGGCAGGGAGTGCATGTTGGAGCAAACCTACTTATGTCACGGGCCAGAGAGCAAAAGAGAAAGAGGAAGTGGCCTGGGTCCCACAATCCCTTTTGGAGGTACACCTCCAATAATGTAAGGACCTCCCACTAGGCCCCACCTCTCAAAGGTTCTACTGCCTTACAATGATAACTCCTCTCTAGAGACCGAGCCTTTAACACAGAGACTTTTGGGGGTTGTTAAACATCCAAACTATAGCCCCAACAATGAACAAGTAGAAATTGAAATTAAAACAGGTTATCAGTTATATTAATATCCTGAAAACTGAAATACTTAGGTGTAAATCTAACAAAACATGTATAAGATCTCATATCTTCTGGATATGGATATATCACTTTGATATAATGTTGGATATATTTTGAAGAGTTATTTTTTTTTCTTTGTAGTGTGAGGATCAAACCCAGAGCCTCCTGCTTGCAAGGCAAGAGCTCTACCACTAAGCCACACCCCAAGCCCATATTTTAAAATGTCAACATCATATATAAGAAATCAAATCTCTTGCAAATATTTGAATTTAAGATGAAAATTTTAATGTAAATGGCTAAGCAGTACAGTTCTCCAAAATTCCTACACTTGATCTCGGCCAAAAGGCCAAGAAGCGATCTCTCCAAAATTCCTTTAGGGAGTCCATGAGCAAGAAAATTTGAAGATAACTACTCTAGGAGAAAGGTATGAGTAATGTGTTTTGAGAAGTAAAGAAAGATGGAACAGCTGATATCCTAGGTTGGGGTCAACACCATTCTTCTCCTGAGCCTTAAATCAAATCAAGTCCTTTGTTTATGAGGCACTGGAGGCCAGTCTATTAGAAGAATGGAACAAAAACAGTGACTCTAAGAAGGAAAGAAAACCACTATCACATAATAAATAACTTTTATGTTTTCACTTTACCAACTGTTTAATGCAAACATGTAGGATAACTTTTGTAAGAAATTTCAAATTTTGTTAAGGAGATAATTATGATTCCTTGATGAACACTGGTGAAGGACAGCTCATAATTTAAATAGATATGTTTTCTGACCAGTGTCATTTTAGAGCATTAGCAAAGCCTTTAATAACTAGGTGGGTAGTAGGGAAAACTGGTTGGCATTCAGGCCTAGAGCTTGAGCCTGGAAGAGGCCAAGGAACTTAGATGTCTAAAATTCAATTTTAGGTTATGTTGCTGTGATTTATATCCTTTCTTCCCCAAACGTTCCACAGAGATTTACATGAACCCCAGCTTATTATATCCAACTGCCTACTCCATGTCTTTACTCGAATATCTATTGGGCATCCAACTCAATACACCCAAAACCAAACAATTCCCGTCTCCATCAATATTCCATTTTCAGTTAATTCCAGTGAATCCAGCTTTTATTTCTCTTTTTCTCAAACCTCACAGCCAGTCACATCAGCAAACTGTGTTGGCTGAAACTTCAAGATGCATCTCCATTATGACCACATCTACTTGCTGCCACTACATGGGGCAGGCCATCATCACCTCTCACCTGACAACAGCAGCTGCCTCGTGACTGGTGTTCCCATTTCTGCTTTTGCTCCCTGTCTTACTGTCTTCATTGCTGAGACACAATACCTGACACCTACAACTTAAAGGAGGAAAGGTTTATTTTGGCTCACATTGCAGAAGTTTCAGTCCTTGTTCGGCAGGCTCAAACACAGAAAAAAGCATAGTGGAAGTGGTGCCATGGAGGAAAGCTGCTCATGTCATGGTGGCCAGGAAGCAGAGTGCAAAAGGAAGAGATAGGGAGGGAGATATCCTCTTCTGAGCCATGCTCTCAGTGACCCACTTCTTGTGACCGGACCCTACCTGCTAACAGCACATTTAGCCATAAACTCATCAGTGGACTATTCCACCAAAGAGTATAGTGTCTCCATGATCTAATTGCCTCCCAACAGCTCTACCTATGAGCATGTGGGACTTTGAGGGTACATCTAGATATAAACCATAACACTCCCCTACAACTTACAGAAGACAGATGATCCTTTAAAAATATAAATCAGGGGCCGGGGGTTTAGCTCAGTGGTTCTGGCACCTGCCTCGAAAGCACAAGGTCCCGAGTTCAATTCCCGGTACAATATATATATATATGTCAGATTGTCGTTTCTCTGGCCAATGTTCTCCAGTGGCTTATCAGCACTGAAATAAAACCCGAAATTCTCATGTGACCCATGAGATCCTACGTACCTAGCATCCCACCACCTCTCTGATTTCATGTATATGTCACCTTGGCCTAGCTGTGGACCTCCTTGCTAATCCCTCCAATACACCAAACATGGTTCTCCCTTAGCACCTTTGAAATTGCTTAGAAGGTTTTCCCCCTAGATATGTCTATGATTTGCTCTTTTACTTCATTCAGGTCTTTGTTTAAATATGACCTCCTCAGGAAGGCCTTCAAATTATCTAAAACTGACTGCTATCCCCATTGCAGCCCTCACAATTCATCATCCTCTTTATCCTTAGTTTAGCTTCTTTTTCTTCCATAATACAAATCACCATCTGACACATTTATTATACATTGATTGCTTATTGCAATCAATAGAAGGTAAACTCCACAAATATAAATCTGTTTCTCTTACTGCTGCATCCTTAGCACCTGGGAGGCACTTAGAAAATGAATAAGTGAAACTAAAGAAAAGATCTGAGAGGGCTGGGGATTTAGCTCAGTGGTTCCACCGCCTGCTTCGCAAGCAGAAGGACAAGAGTTCAACCCCCGGTACCAAAAAAAAAAAAGATCTGAGTTTTATGATAGGAGATAGTTTGCACTGAGAACCTTAGACAAGATGGTATAGAGGATGCCAACCCTCAGAGTCATAGATAACCGGTGTGGTGGTGCATGCCTATACTTCTAGTACTTTGGGAGGCTGAGGCAAGAGGATCACAACTTAGGGGCCAGCCTGGGCAACCTAGAAGGACTCTGTCTTAAAATAAAAAGTGGTGTGGGATGTAGCTCAGTGGAAAGGCTCTGTGTTGAGAGAGAGAGAGAGAGAGAGAGAGAGAGAGAGAGAATATAAGAATGAATATGAGAATGGAAGGGATCCCACCTAGGAATCTTAGACTTTCTGAACCATGTGGTGGAAGGGGAAGATTGTGTAACTCCAGCTGACACCTGTATTACACTTATCTTATTTTACTTTAATATCACAAAAGATGAGGAAACTGAAGATCAGAAAAGTAAAATGACTCGCCCAAGGTTTTGAGCTAAGTAGCAGAGCAAGAATCTGAAATCAGCTTTTTTTCTGACTGTAGAAACCACACTGCTTCCAAGACACTACACATAACATAGAAGAATGCCTGGAAAAGTTAATAACAGCTCAAGGAATGAGCTCATGGTTCATAGAGGAAGTGGTGATTAATTTGGTATCACCAGACAACCTTACAGACAGAACAAAGGCAGACAAGGAGAAAGGACAGAAAGTTTTAGGGTTAGACAGTTAGATGGAGGAATACCCAATAGTCATGTTGGCTGAAGTTTAGTGTGCCGAAGGAGGCTATTGAAGGTGTACTCTGTAAGGGCCAGAATGTGATTAAAATTTGGGGTTTATCATAGAGCATTAAGCCATAGAGCATTGAGGTCAGAACACTGCTTTACTAAAGTCACTTGGGATGCCATGGACACTCTAGAGTGACCAAATGAATGATGTCCTAGCCCCAGCCAAGGACCCCTTCCACAGCAATCTGCATTCTCTCACAATCTGGTTCGATGTTAAAAGCAGCCCTGATATAACTGTTCACCCAGCAGCCACTAGTTGGCACTAGTGTGCCAATGGATAAGCCAAGCCCCCCAAGTGGCACTTTTCCTCAATCACTCCTTGGCTTTTACCTGGTATTATGGATCATTTGGTGGAAAACAGAAATGCGGGGAGGGGTGAGGAGGGCATCCCAAAGGACCAGAGGAGGAGAATGTGGAAGTCAGAGAACAGATGGCTGCATGGGATATGGATGAGGTGGGATGGAGACAGTAGTGACAGATTGTGAAAGGCCTTGAATTTTCAGGCATAAAAAGATGAATATTATCTTGAGGGAAATAGGAGAGTTTAGAAGTAGAAGAGAGACATGATCAAATTTGCACTGTGGGTAAAGAGAAAGAAAAGAGAAGTGTGAGGAGATAGTTGCAGTGATCCTGGGAGAGACGATGAGTGGGCCAAAGTATGGTGAGTAATTGCAATGAGGGACAGAGGGTCAGATTTGGAGAGGATTTAAGAAATAAAAACCACAGACTAAAACACGAGGCATTAAAAGTGCAGTTTTGACAAGAAAGAATGAATATTCTTTTCCCTATTAGTAAATACACTTTTTGAATTGGGGTTGCTGCCTAAAATTGCACTGGAAGAACTCAGATTTCATAAATTCTTTGGTTCTAAATTCTAGTCCAATCATTCAATAATGCTGACCATATCCTGTGGTGGAAACTGGGGACCAAGGATGTAGTCCTTGTTCTTTCCTACTGTGGTGGAAGGACGGCCAAATCCTCCACTCTGTAGAATACGTTTTGTTGGAAGAAATATAGTACGCAGGGCAGTCCAGAAAGCCTTGAGGCGTTCTGAGCCTAGGATTTCAAATGAAGGATTAAACAAACTGGGCAATGGTGGCCTAGGCAAAGAGGCCAGGGGAAGCAACCCCATTTCCTGTTTGTCAGAAACTGCAGACGTCACCTGATCCGTGACAAGTACCAAAGTGAGCTACACGCCCCAGGATGTCCGCCTTTAAACAGGTCTCCCCTCCCCACCCCCTAAAAAAGCGGACGAACTGTTTTGCCGGTCGGGGGAGGCCGGCGCCCGCGAGCTCGCCCTCACACCGCCCCACTGCGGCTCTGATTGGTGGAGATGCCGCCTAGCCCCGCCCCCTGAGCTTCGACGAAGGTACCCTAGAAGGTTTGCGCACCAACTGCTGGCCGGCGCGGGCCCTCGCCGGGAATTCTGGGGAGGATGGCTGTTCGCCCCGGCAGGGGGCGGCCGCACCTCAAATCTTGTACGCCGAGGCAGGTTGCATCCCTTACAGAAAAGGGGTCAGAGACCGGAAGTGGGGCCTCCGGGAGCCTTATGGGCAGCGGCTGGGGGCTGACCGGGCTTCTTGCGCCTGCGGGTCACCTCGCTTGAGAAATGGCCATTATCAGGGGCGTGGGTACTGAGCCAGGGCGGGAGGAACTGGGCTCTCGGGTGTTTGCAGACCCAGATCTGGACCCCTGGACCGGAGCGGGGGATGCCTGGTTCTGCTGGCCCCTTGTGCGCCAGGGAGACGGGCAGCCCTCAGAGGCACTCCTCTCAACCGCTCCACGCACTTATATCAGGTCTTTTGAAGATCCACTTAGTGCCAAAGGATTGAGCGCAACCCTGGCGCCTTGGGCCCCTGGCTTTCCTCCTCTCTCCCCTCAGGCGCCCAAGAAACTTAAACGGTTATTCCTTCCAACAGGCTTTTGGGAGCACATGAGGCTTCCCATTGGATGTGGCTCAGCCCTACATCCATTGGTTAACCACCCTGCCCCAAGGTCAGGAAAGGCGCATCCTCTCAACCCCTTTCCTTATTTGCCTTCCCATTTGAGAGGTGGGGATGGACACCTCACACATTTTCTATACAGTACCTAGTGGTGATACAGACAGACACTTGCATTTGCTAAGTACCTGCTTTCCCTTCTTACTTCCTCCTTAAAACCCTCTCTGGCCAAGGAAATTTTAGTTTTGCGTATGTGTTTTGAAGGCAAATTCGATTTTGTCAGCTGAGTCTCTAGAGATACTTTTGGTTCTTCCTTTGAACTACTGAGTGCCTGTTGTAGCCTAAGCACTGCATTGAATAGTTCTGAGAACCCAGACAAACCAAATTGGCTCCTTCCTGTAAAATTCAGACAGATGGGAGAAATTTGGACTTGTGATAAAAGTGGAAGGGTACAAGTACCATAGGAAAGGAAGAGATGGAAGATGGTCTTGAAAGGAAAAAAATGGTCTTGAAATTTGGGCATGCAGGAGGAGGGTCAGAAGTCTTTAGAGAGGAGACAATAGCATTTAGCTGGACCCAGAGCGGGTAATTCCAAAAGATAGATTAAGGCAGCTTAACAACTCACCAGGGTCATAAAAGAACATGGTTAATTTTGTTTCAGGGGTGGGGTTTAGAGAAGGGCTTGTGAAAGAGCCAAAGGAATATACAGTACTTCACATACAAGATAATGCCTATTAAACCCAAGCGTCACAGTCAGCAAATAGCTGTTGTTTGAACACTATCAAATATATGATGGAAATAACTTGAATGTCAAAGAATTTGGATTTTCTCTGGGTAATAGATGATAGATTTTTAAACAAAGGGCATTGATTAGAGGTGTTTGGAAGGGATGGGATCCTGAGCCAGAAAATCAACCACTGCAGTAGTTACAACTCTGTTTGCTTCTTTCCCACGCGCACCCAAACCTCCCTACCTTTCATCCACAAGCATTTCAAAACCACGTTTCTAAAAACCAGCCATTTATATCTCTTTAGGTAAGTTACAGAAGTGTGGTCGTGTATTTACAAGTTGGTTTGTCCAGATATACTATAACTTAGTGCCTGTATTTAATATTGACAACCAAAAAATATATATAAATATCTTCCATCTATACACAGCAGGGCAGAAGTGTCCATGTCTTCTTCAGCAGTAAGTTAGCCTCCCAAAGCCTTTTCTCATGGTGATCGTCTGGCCCTCAGTGCATAGGAGACTAGAACCTGGCAGCCCTTCCCCTCTCCTCCCTGCACTTCTGTGCTCCCAACTGGTCTTACACAAGGAAAGATTAATTTGCGTGGTTGGGTAGGAAGAGATGGCAGTGGGCAAATCCTAAAATGAAACCCAACCCTTAGGGCAGAGAGATCCAGGCCTGCAAAGGAAGTGGCCACAGCCACCTCCTAGTGTAGAAGCCTTGTAGTTCATAGTTCGATTAGTGTGTCCTTGGTCATAGGTCCAGCCCTAAGATTAGCTTGGTGAAGAAGGCAAGTGTCTGCACAGGACCTGATCCCACCCTCAGGCACTGAGCCACTCAGGGTGAAGCCTGGGGCGTGGGGACAGGAGGGTCTGGCTGATAAAAAAATAATAACAAAATCAGTAATAAAAAAATTAGAAAACCTGTTGCTTGTCCGAATAGATTTGAGCAACAGTCTTGCTTTTGTTAAAACTCTGGAGCCATTATAGTCCTGAATACTCTTCTGGACATCATTGGTGCTGGCTGAAGAAAGGAGACCCAGGCCTGGCTCAGCTGAGATCTGTCAATTTAGAAGTCTCATCCAGCTGCCTGTGCTCCAGAAACATCCTTAGGGCTGCTGGGAGCAGGCCGGGCTGGTGGTGTGGGGCACCTCACACTTGGGAATCAGCTCCCAGAGGGCGGAACAACTCCTCAGGTGTCTTGTCACTTTGGCTGGCTCCCCCCTGCCGGAAGCCAGAGGCAATCTCATCGAAGGTCCGGCCTTTTGTCTCAGGAACTTTGAAGTAGGTGAAGATGAAGAACAGAATCAGGAGCACAGTGAAGATGATGAAAACATAGGGACCACACAATTGCTGGAAAACACACAGACAAATAGTTTAAGTTGTGACCCTCGTACCAGCTACAGGACTGTGAATAAATTACTTCTGGGCCTTTGACCTGTTAAAGGAAATGAATACCACCAGGGATGCTATACTGATTAAATGAACCTATGCCAACACCTGGCAGGTGACAGGCAGGACCATCATCACAAGCTAAAAATCTCTGAAGTTGAGGTCAATGTTCTTAGCCAAGTAACTTGAGCTTCTGAGTCTCAGTTTCCTTCTCAGTATAATTCCTAACAAGTATGCTGGAAGAGCACTCTATACTGTACTACATTTGGGGGTCATGCATGCAGGCAAGAATTGGTGAGTATAGAGACAAGGGGGTTCTCACCTCCACATACTGGAAGCACATGCCCACAATGAAGTTTGATGTCCAGTTGGAGAAGCCAGAGACGGCAAAAGCAGCTGGGCGAGGACCCTGGCTGAAAAGTTCAGCCACAATGAACCATGGGATAGGGCCAGGGCCCACTTCAAAGAAGGCCACAAAGCCAAAAATGGCCACAATGCTCAGATAGGACATCCAAGGCAGCTGCTCCTGTTGAGGAAGAGCAGGGAGGGAGTTAGACTGGGTTGTGATGGTTCTTCAGAGGAAACAAGCTGAATTGAAGAGGCCCCTGCTTGGTGGTAGAAGGCAAGAGGCCTAGAATCGATCCTGGATTTGCCCTGTGATCTAGGTACTCTCTACGTGAATCTCAACTTTCTTATTTGCCCAAAATGATTCATGTCCTATGGAGTGGTCTGGGTCCACCCTCTTGGAGTGGCAATGTGGTATCCAAGTGGGAGGGCCAAGAAGGCCCCTGTGTTGCCCTGGCTCTAGCTGCAACTTGTCTATGGCAAGAGAACGTAAGATAGGGGCCGGGGATTTAGCTCAGTGGTTTCACTGCCTGCTGCGCAAGCGCAAGGACCCAAGTTTGATCCCCGGTACCAAAAAAAAGAGAACATAAGATGCCTAGCTCAGGCTGGCGTGGAGCAGGCACTATGATACTGTATATAATCATTCTCCTTGAAGAGGCATAATAGAAAAGGACGTTGATTCAGATCTCAAATCTGCTGTTCATCCCTTACTGCATGCCCACTCTCTTGGCAATCAGGGACTTCCCAAGCCTGAGATCAGCTTATAAATGTGCTGGTGCTTTCCTTGCCCAGAGGCTGGACAAGTGAGTGTGTGCGCATGAGTCCCTGGTACAAGTTATCACAGTGGTTTTAGTTGTAGGCTTGGGGCCTGTAGTCCTGGGCTCATTTCTGACTTCATCCCTTATCTGAAATGGAGCTTTGGTTTTTCTCACCCATAAAATGGGAAGATTATTTGCATATCCCTAATCTGAAAATCTGAAATCCAAAATGCTCCAAAAATCGAAATCTTTTTGAGTGCTGCTGACATGACACCATGAGCAGAAAATGCCACACCCATCCTCATGTGATGGGTCTCAGGCAAAATGCAGGCACACTAAGAATATTATAAAAAGTGCCTTTAGTGTATATGTATAAGGTGGACAGGAAAGAAATGAATTTTGTGTTTAGACTTGGGTCCCATCCCTTTATCTATGCAAATATTTTAAAATCAAAAAACCCCTGAAATCTAAAACACTTCTGGTCTACACACTTCTGATAAAAAATAATGCAACTGTAGCAGCTGACCTGCATTTCTGAGTTGTGAGAATGGAGTGAGACAGATGTGTTTCTGCACCTCCATGGTGAGGAAGTAATACTTTCTAGGGTTGGTGTGAAGATGAATTGAAGCTTCAGTTAAAGGCTTTGAGAAGTTTGATATTGGCAGTGTCCTGGGGAGATGAGAGCTTGAGGTCTAAGGCCAGAGGTGGTATGTTGAGAAATGACCAAGCAGGGAGGAACATATTCAAGATGAGATTGACTGAGATGGAAGGGGACAAGCGCAGGAGCCAGGTCAGGCACCAGGCCGGTAAGCAGAAGCAGGGAGAGCTCAGCCCTCATCTAGTCTGCTAGGCACTTTGCGATCTAAGCCCAAGTAGATGCCCCCCACCCCCAGCCCTCTAGAGTAGCCACTCACCAGCAATGCCAGTGCGATGGTCATGAGTACGGCACAGCCTGCCATGCCACCCAGGCCTATGAGGTGCAGGGTCCGCCGGCCAGCCCGCTCCACCACGAACAGCTGTGGGCAGGGACAGTGTCAGGTCACCCCTCTTGAAGCCCACCCACCCACAGGCTAGCCTCAGTAGCCAAGAAAGCCACATGGTGCCTCTTCCTTGGGGCTCAGCTTAGGGGCTACACAGGGAATGAGAGGCAGAGAGCTAGCTCCAAAACCCGACGGCAGCACGGGGGTAAGAGGGTGCCCAAATAGCTGAGCATCCTGGCTGTGACCTTTGGAGAGCATTTGCCATTTCACTTCCCTTAAGATCCATGTCAGCTCTGTGCTAAGTAATGAGTCTCACAGGTTGGTGAGAATGAAATGAGAGCGCTTACAGAGCACGTGACACATGCCTGGCTCCTGGTAAATGCTGTCGTTCATTCTGTCCCGAGGTCCTGAGCTGGACCCTGGCTGCTCACTCACAGCAAAGACTCACCGACACGACGGTAAAGGCTGTGTTGACGATGCCCGAGCCGATGGTGGCATACACCGGCTGCTGCACTCCCGCCTTCTCAAAGATGCTCGTGGAGTAATAGAATACCTGCCAGACAGAGATTGCTGTCAGCTGGGCTCCCTGGCCCTCCCCTGCCTCTGTACCAGTGAGTGTGGGACAAAGGGTGAGTGAAGACAAAAGGGACAAGTACTTCCCAGGCAGATGGACACTGTATAGTGCCCTTAAGGGCTTTGACTATAAAGGGAAGCCTCTCCTGGCAAAGGCTTGTTTTTCTTTGGGACTTGTTCAGAGCACACACTTGAGCTGGGGCCAGGGTGGGCCCCCAGGAAGGGTGGGTGGGGGCACTCACAGCGTTGATGCCCGACAGCTGCTGGGACAGCTGCAGCACCACGGCAATGAGGATGGGCTGGCGGTAGGCAGGGGAGCGGAACAGCTCCAGAATGGTGACCTTCTTCTCTCGCATCATCTGCCGACTCTCCTCCTTCATCTCCTGCAGGTCTTGGCTCACATCAGCTGTCCCGCGCAGCTTCTTCAGCACTGGTGGGACCAGAGGGAAGGTGGGGTGGCTCAGAGTGGGAAGAAGGCCAGGACTCAGGGGGGAGGGAGGAGGGCAGGGCCCAGCCCATACCACTCTTGGCCCGGTTCTCCTCATTGCGGTTGATGAGCAGGAAGCGGGGGCTCTCGGGGCAGAAGGGCAGCAGGATGCACTGGAGCAGGGCTGGGGCGAAGATGACACTGAGCAGCAGGGGCCACAACTCCTCATTGCCCATTATGGAGTCCAGGCCGAACACCTAGGGGAAGCAGGCTGTGAGTCCCCCTCTACTCACTCCTACTCCCATGCCATCCCACCAGGCCTTGCCTGCTTGAGTCAGCCCTGCTTAGGGAAAGAGCTCTAGTTATGGAGGTTCTGCCACTCACATGAGGCTTAACCTCTTTCAACAGGAGAAAGTAGGACCTAACTCACCGAATTACTGGGAAGACAATTGACAAAGCTACCAAGGTGTCGGGCACAGAGTATAGGGGTGGCTACTCTGCCACAGGAAGATTTGAGGGATGGGGATGGAGGAGACTTCTGGAGATAGGGTACAGTGCTCATGAAGGCCTGCAGGCCTGGAGGCACAATAGAGTCTGGCATGTTGTGGGACCTGTGGGGTCCCCTGTGGTTGGAGGTTCAGAGCGAGAAGAGTATGAGAAGGATCAAATAATCTTGCTGACTGGCTGGCAAGGCCAGTGGGAGATTTGCAAGTGGTTGTGTGTTCCCTGGGACCCTAACACCACAAGACTGTCCTCTGCAGGGCTGTGGAAGGCTGAGTGGAAGTCTAATTGGAGAAACTCCGTCCTGTTGGGCAGGCAGACCCAGCCCTGGCTTACCTGGGCAATCAGGATGCCAACAACGATGCCCAGCTGGTGCAGGGTGCCCAGAGCCCCACGAAGAGCTGTGGGTGACACCTCCCCAACATACATGGGCACGAAGCCCGTGGTCAGGCCGCAGTATACGCCGATGATGAAGCGGCCCAAGATCAACATCTCAAAGGACTTGCTCAGTTTCGAGAAGCCCATGAGCACAGCAGACACGAAGGCCAGCAGGTTCATCATCAGCATGGAGTTCCGCCTGGGGGTGGAGTCACAGGTTAGGAGGGTCCTTGATCCCCTGACTCTCCAGGGGCTGAGCTACAGGTGATGCCCTAGAATAGCAGTCTCCCCTCCCCGACCCGACTCCCACTTAGGACTCCCCCAAGGCCAGGGCCAGGGCCCCTCCTGCTCACCGGCCAAAGCGATTAACAAAGAGGCCCACAGAGAAGGACCCAATCATTCCTCCAACAGAGAAGATGGCCACTGACAGGGACCAGAGCGTGGTGAGTGTGGTGGGCAAGATGGGCTCCCCATAGCGGTGGATCCACGTCTGGTTGTAGAACTCCTCGATCACCTGCAGGGGAGAAGCAGGTTGGGTGGGTCGTGAGACCAGGACCTATGCTCCCCTACCTCAAGGGGGGTCATTTACCACCCGATGCTGGAGGGCCCAGGGCCCATCTCTGTGGTAAACTCTTGAGCCAAATCTCTCCCTTTTTGTGGGCCTCAGTTTCCTCAGGTGAGCAGCAGAGGCTGGGCTCCATCTCTGAGAGCTGGTTCTCACCCTTCCCCCAAGGCATGGTTTCCAGTGCCCTGGGGTTTCACATGTTCACCACCGTTGCTGGGGACAATGGCAAATGACCTATGGGGCAAGTACAGACACAGCAGAAAGGTATAGGGAGAAAATGCTCCTACCCACTTGTGCCTTCTCTCTTCTGGTAAGGTATTTCAAGGCTCTAGTTCTAGACCAGCCCTTTTGCCTACCCCCTGCTGGGGAGGAAACAGCTGGACAGACAGGTCCTGCCATTCTGGTGGTTTTGTGGGAGTGGACTCACTGACTCTGCACTCGCCTGGTGTGACCAGCTCATACACATCACGCTTCAGATAGGCTCACAAGGCTCACACTATTACTTTCTGCTCCTCAGGCCCAGTTCCTTTCTGGCTGGCCTGGGAGTGCCACCCACAGGCGTGGTCTCATATTTCCATCCAGGTGCCCAGCTGGTAGGTCTAGGGAAAGGCAATGGACAAGGAAGTAAAGTAGTTCCAGGAACTGGAGACATCTGTCCTAGACAGGCCTGCCCATAGCCCTGCCCCCACCCTGGGGAGGGCCTGGACCGAGGCCAAGGATGCGGCCGGCATAGGCAGCCCTAGCTCTGAGCACACTTGCTACACTTGGGCAACACAGACACACACCCAGAGCCAAGACTGGCCAGATCCATCCAAGACTGGCACAGGCTCCACTGCCTAGAAGCTTCCTGTTCACACATCCAATCATATACACACATGGTTATATTCATATCATCTGAAGTCTCCTGGCCTGGCCAGTCACAAACCTGCATGCCTCTCCTCCCTTACCACTTCATTCAATTCTATGCAAACCCAACCATGCCAACACCCCTTACCAGGAGTATGCAGTTTATACACATGTGGCATTATGTAGCCTCTTCCTCCTCCATCATCTTTGCTCTTTGTTATCCCTACCCCTACCAAGACACAGAGGTCTAGCAGAACAGGAAGGAGTAGGTAGCCACACTTCCCAAAGGGGAAATCAAGGCAGTCCCTGGAATATCCTTCGGGTATATGAGCCATGTGTAGAGAAACCTGTCTTGAGTCAGTGGGCCTCTGCCTAGCTCCTAGAGTCCAGGCTGTAGGGGGTTACAGTAGCTTTTGGTGGGTGAGGCAGCACCAAGGATCTACATGGCTATTCCAGCAGAGAGCACAATGATTAGGATCCTGGACTGTGAAATGGAACACAACCAAATTCATATCCCAGCTCTATTCCTTACTTCCTTCTAGTGTGACCCTGGGCTAGTTATTTAATTTTCAGTTAGTTTCAATTAATTCATCTTTAAAATGCAGTTATTAGATACAGTCACGCATCACTTAACAATGGGGATCCATTCTGAAGTGTATTAGGCAATTTCATTGTGTGCAAACATCAGGAGAGTGCATTTAACACAAACCCAGATGAGTAACTTGACATGGCCTCTTGATACAATCAGGAGACATGGTAAACATGAGATGTATGAGGCTGCTGCTGGGGTAACACAGCATAGTGTTTTACAGAAGCTTTTTTCTTTTTAAAGTAAGTAGAAGGAATATACTCTAACAAAAATATAGTAAAGACATAAATCAGCACAATGTTGAGTTCCTAAAATGAGGGGAGAAGCGTTCCTTCTTTTTTCTGCTTTAATTGTTTGATGTAATTTATCAGTTAAAATGTATATAAGCCTGCTGTTGTCACATAGCTGGTTTTCAAGCTAGGAATATACTTTCTTTAATAGGTGCTATTCAAATTTTATATTTCCTCCAGAGTTAGTTTCATTAATTTGTCTTCCAAGGTACTTCTTAGAAGTTGTCAAATTTATTTCAAAAAAGATTTTTGTAATATGCTTTCTATATCCTTTTAAATTCTGTAAAATCTGTGCTAATGTCTCCTAGATCTTAATATTGTAATTTAAAAAATGTATAACTGATGTTGTATAACAGGAAGAAAAGGTCTAAAAGAGCAGGGGAATTGGGAGGGGTAGGGGAAGGGAAAAAAGGGAAAGGAAAAAATATGAGAAGAGGAAAAAAATGGAAACAAGGTCTTTGCAAATAGGGAAGGGTGGAGGAGGTGAAGGGAGGGCAAGGGAAGGGGAAAAAAATAAGAACCAAGAGGCTCATGTAATGGTACAAGATCCCAATGATGAATGTAACTGTATTTTATACCTAAAATGTACCAATAAACTTAATGGGGAAAAAAAAAAGACGTGAATCAGTAACATAGTCATTTATTATCATTGTCACTATCGTATTTTTTTTTTTTTTTTCCTGGGTACCGGGGGATTGAACTCTGGTCCTTGCGCTTGTGTAGCAGGTGGCGAAACCACTGAGCTAAATTCCCGGCCCCGACTATTGTATTATTATGTATAGTATTGTATATAATCTGTGCAGCAGGCAGCACAGTAGGTTTGTCTACAGTGGCATCACCACAGGCATGGACACATAAGTAATGCACCAAGATAAGATGTTACAATGGCCGTGATGTTGCGAGGCCATAAGAATTTTTCATCTCCATTATAATCTTAGGGGGCCACCTCTGGATATGCAGTCTGCCATTGACTGAAATCAGTATGGTGATGACTGTATCTGATTCATAGTGTGCTTCTACAGTGCCTTGCAGCACCCCACCCCTAGTTACTCAACACTCACTGGTACTGGTCCCAAGGTAGTGAGGACCACTGACAAAGTCTTACCAAGCCTCCATGCCACAATTCAAAAATCAAGGTTTCTGCCAGAGGTCAACCCAACCCCTCTATCTACCACTGACTTCTACCTCTACCTCTACGCTCAAAGCAGTGGCTACACCTTTGCTCTCCATACCATTTCCTCACCCCTCCCTGGCTCTGGATGATGTTACTCTTGTCTCTGAGATCCAAGGTTTCCCGGACTTCCAGGATTTATTCTCCCTGAGGACAGGGACTGGAGCCTGTCCTGGGGCCACCTGTGAGTGGGTAAAAGAATCAGTGGATAAGGGTCTCAGACTCTTCTTCTACAAGCCCTTGATTCTGCTGGGGACAGAGATGAGGCAGATTTTAACAAAACAAAAACACACAGTGCTTGTGTACAAGGAACAAAACCAACTGCAGAGGACCAGCTAGGAACAGTAATGCCTCGTTTGTCAGGCTGTGCAGAGAACAAGCTGTTCTGGATAAGAGAACTATCCAGATACATGACACTTGCCCCTCCCAGGGCCCAAATTTTCCTGACTCACCATCAGGATGGAAATCTTTCTCCCTCTGTCACTCAGGGACTCACCAGACCTATGAGATGTCTGTCCTTGGCTTTTGAGTTCTGCAATCCACATGTCTGTCTTGTCCCACCCCCTCTTATGGTTCAAAGGCTTGTCTCCTACAATTCTCCAAGCCCCTTTAAAAATCTGCCAAGGGCCGGGGATTTAGCTCAGTGGTTCCTCTGCCTGCCTTGCAAGCGCAAGGATCCAAGTTCAATCCCTGGAACAACAAAAAAAAATCTGCCAGGAAGTCAGCTATGGGAACTGGAGATTGAACCTAGGGTCCTTGTCCTTAGCTGCACCCCCAAGTACATACACTTGAGACAGGGTCTCACTAAGCTGCCCAAGCTGTATTCCAACTTGTGATGCTCCTGCTCAGCCTCTCAGAGTGCCTGAATTACAGGTGTGCACCACCATGCTCAGCTCCGCTAATGGAACTTGTGTGAATTGTGTGCAAAGAAAATGCTAGTAAGTGCTGAAACTACCTACATGAGCGGAAGGATATGATGCTGAGGGTTCTGTTCCGACAGCTCAGGATAATTGTTAAAGGAGCCTCTCTGCTGCTCAGATTACTCATGGGACTCAGGGGGGTGAATAGCCAGCTCTGTTCACTCCAACCTTGGTCCAGACTCATATTCTCAAGCCCCCAAACCAGCAGCACTTCCTGGGCATCTGAGGCTCCACAGTGGGTTTCTGCCTTGGCATCTGGAGTGTAACATTTCTGAGAAGCCAGGCCCGTTTCCATTCCTGCTACTGGTTTGAGGTCTCCCTGTCCTCTCTTCCTGGGGACTGCATACGACCCTTGCCCCAGGAAAGGCAGAGGGTCCCTGGAGGGTCACAAGAATCCGACACAGGAAAAAGTCTGGGTCACCTCTGCCACCCAGTCACTGCCCTCATTGTTCTCACGAGAAGTATCTAGGTGCCCTAAAGGAGGAGCCTGCTGTCTACTCCCCTGAAAGGATCCCATAGAGCAGTTTCCACAAGGTCCTGGGCATCCTCTTCACCCCTGGCTGCTCCCGAAGGGTCCCACCCACCTCACGTACCCATCACAAGCCTGGAAATCACCCTTGATATTACTATTGTCCCTGAATCTCACAATCCCCAGGTCCTGTGGATTCTGCTTTCTGATTTGTTCTACTTCTTTACCCAGGCAGCACCTACCCTGGGTTTTGCCTAAATTCTACTCCCAGACACTTTCATCTCTCAAAGCCAGATGCCATTTCCTACAACTTACTCCTCTGTATCGTTGTCAGAGCCCTGCTGATATGCCTGCCCTCCAGTGCTCTTCTACTCCCTTCTCAGTCCACTCACACCCTCTCCACCTTGCTCAGGGTCTGGCTGAGTGGAAGTATAATGAGGAGAAAGGGAGGGTCCTGGTCAGTTCCAGGGTGACCTGCTGGCAGCCAAGGGGCTATTGGAGATCTCTGCTGAAGGTCCTCATTGAACACAGGGCAAAGGAGCCCCTTGATGATGCCATGGGGGCTCCTGTGGAGAAGCTATTGGCTGTGCAGCCCAGGTCTTGGGATGGGATGGACTGCAGGAAAAAGCTATTCCTCACCCAGCAGTTGGGGGACATGGGGGTA